ATGTATATAAAAGCAACAACGGCGGCCGCAGATTCTGCAGGTGTGCTCTCCACCGACCGCTCATCATGGCGGGCCGTTTCCTCCTCTCCGGACTGCTGACCGCGGCTCTTGCGTCAATCTCCGCTTCGGCCGCTCCTGTTATCAAGAGGAACCCTTACAGCTTCGTTCTAGAGAACCCTTACGGTGATGCTGTCTTTGAGCTTGGGAATGTTTCTTACCTGGCCAATACCAAACACCCCAAGGCGAGTGCTGGCTGCACAACCCCGGCCGGCTCTGCTACATCGATCCCCATCACCGTCATCAAGACAAACGAGACGACCATTACGAAGGATGTCTTGGAAAGTGTCATATCTTCATATCTCGATGGCGACGATGTCTTCAGCCATGATTTCCTGGACGGACTGTACCTCTCCTCGGGCGTCAAGTCGACACTGGATGTCTCCGCTGTCGATTATCTTGCGTCTTTGAACACAAGCATGCTTTTCGTGGATGCCTCGGTGAGTACAGATGCCTCGATGAGCAAGATGGTGCTTGAATCGGCTGTCGACCTTCCGGCTGGCCCATACCTCGCATCGGTCCAAGATGGCTCTGTAAGCTTTGCGACTGTATACCGTCTTTACCCGGATACCTACCGCACATTCCTGTTCGGAGCCTACGATGCGAATGATGGACAGGAAAATCACAACCCGCTCGGTATTTTTCTGCCCAAGTTCTGGGACCCCATGATTCCGTAAGCAGCCAGCCACCAACGTGAGGTATCAAGCTAATGAAGATCGTAGTGTTCCTTCACGTATCTACTTCTGGGGAGACGACAGACCCCTGGCTGGAGAGCGCGTTGCAATCAAAGATCTGTACGATGTCAAGGGCTTGCAAACTTCTGGTGGCAGCCAGGCATGGGCTCGCATCACACCCGTTTCAAACGGCACAGCGCCTTCAGTGCAGCAGATTCTCGATCTCGGAGGTGTTGTTATTGGAAAGCAGAAGCTCGCTCAATTCGCTTCCGGTGCTAACCCTTGGGAATGGCAAGACGAGCACTACCCGTTCAACCCGAGAGGTGATGGATGGCTCACGTGCTCAGCTTCTTCTTCCGGCGGTGGCTGCTCCGTCGCTGCGTACGATTGGCTTGACTACGCCATTGGAAGCGACACTGGCTCTTCGATGAGGCGACCGGCTGCAGTAGCTGGTGTATATGGACAACGTCCCAGTCAGGGCTTGATATCACTCGAGCGTGTCATCCCATTGGGAGCAGCAACCGATACCGCAGGAGTCTTCTCTCGCGACCCCTACAAATGGATCAAGTTCAGCAAGTCTTGGTACACACCCAGCCTCTACCAGAACTCATCCATCACTGGTCTATCACCGCTTTCCGTCCCAGACACAAACGCGTTCCCCAAGACCATCCTCTACCCCACGGATTACCTCCCGCTGAACAACTCCGCCGCAGAGCCAATCTTACAAGACTTCATTGCGAATGTGTCCAGGATCTTCAACATGACCGTCAAGGAGTTCAACTTCACCGCCACAGTCCAGAACTTCTCTGACCCCATTGCGAGCAACTTCACCAGGATGGGGCAAGCGACTAGCGCAATAAACGGATGGTCTTCATGGCAAGTCGTCGGGAAACCCCTGATAACCGCTTGGGCCGCACTCTTCAACGGCCGCTTCCCGCCAATCGATCCCGCAAGACGCCTCGGCTGGTTCGCATTCGACGAATCGGAAACCAACCAAACCACCTACGACGCAGCACTCGTGACCAAGAACACGGCCGTCGAGTGGTACGAGAAGGAACTCCAATACAGCACTTCCGAATCATGTTCGGAGTCTGTGATGCTCTACGACATCGGCACCGGCGGCCTACCTTCCTACCGTGAAAGAGAGCTCAACGACTCGCCTTATGCTTCGTACCTAGCTGTCACACCACCGACGGCAAAGATCACTGGTGCGGGCATATGTCCGATATTTGGGTGTGCCGATTTCACGATTCCGATTGGTCAGGTGCCGTATCGGAGTGAGGTTACGTTCCATGAGGAGATGGTGCCTGTAACCATTAACATGGTAGTAAAGAGGGGATGCGACTTTGTGCTTTACAACATGATTGAGAAGTTGGCGGATGAGGGTGTGCTGAAGACGGTCAAGACGGGGAGAACAGCTTATTGATAGTAGAGCTGACTTCGTGGAGTGAGTATGCGATATGACATGATGAATGTAATGCAATCTGGAATGACGGTTCTCTTTCTGGCCCCAACAATTGTCGCTTGATATAAGTGTAAGCATCCGACTGTAACGAGTCGCTTGTAGAGTTGCTTGGACGAAATGTGGCCGATGTTAGTTGTCAAGAGACACCATATTGCTTTTGAATCAACGACTGTGGTCACACCACCGCACTGATGGAGAGGAGATTGCCTGGTAAGGCTGCATTGCATTGATGCGAACCAACTGGTCCAGCGCTCTGGTATCTAGAGCCGTAATGCATCATTCTAGCTTTCGAAAAGCGACCACAACGCCAAATGTAGAGTAGACAATACAATGCCCAATGTCTATAGTTCCCCCGACGCTTTTGAGATGCCGTATTGATGCAGTATTAGAAGAAGAATAAGATGCAAAGACCTGCGAGGTCCCAGGTCATGTCTGGGATTCCTCTGGGTGCTCGTATGCGACTTTGCGCACCTGCAAGCACCCGCACCCATCTATGAGCGGTGCATGGTACACCGGTCCAGCGCGTCGAGCAGCTCGGGTCGTTCCGCCAAGGCCTGTCGCGCTTGGGTATAGCTGAACCAATTCCGATTCCGCTTGTGCTGCTCAGGCCACTGAGCTTCTTGCTTCTCGACAGTCGCTTCGAAGAAATGGTACGAGGCCTTTGGGGCCTGGGAGGTGAGCTGGTCGGGTCTGCGCTTCTCAGGGATGAGGCCGAGGTCGTAGTTGATCTTGCATATTATGCCGGCCTCTTCCCAGGCTTCGCGTTTGGCGGCATCTTGGGCAGTCGCTTCGTCCGTCTCCCAGCCGCCCTTGGGGAGCACCCATCCGTTCCGCTTGGTGGACTGGATGAGGAGCACGTAGTACTTGTCGGCAGAAAGCGGGACAACGCCGGCGACTAGGCGCTCGCCTTGGGATCCATAGCCTGCCGCCAATCAGCCGAAAGTTAAAAGCGGTGAGTAGGGAGAGATTCGCGGCACAGGTTCAGGTATTTGGGGTTCGTTGTGGGGTCTCGTGAGCAGACTTACGTTGGTTCACGCGACCGGTGCGCGACTGCATCGACAGCTGCTGGGTAGCGGCCATGTCGGCGCTGAGGTGTCTGTGAGAGACGCGATAGTATCAAGTGGCACCGCGTGTATGCGACTCGCTCGACGCGACGGCCACAGAAGTCAAGGAGGGGCTTGGTCGGAAGAGCAGAGGCGAGCCAGGCGGTGAATTGAAATGAAGCCGAGCCGACAGCGAGTGTGCGTGTGGCTTCACGGGGCAGTGGTGGGGAGCAAGTGTAAAGGGGGCGGATGTGGTAGGCAAAAGGGCTGAGCAAGGCTCAGTCCCGCGGATGACGGGGCTGAGGATGTTGAAGGAGCCTGCGAGCAGCAAAGAAGTTCGGCATGGTGGATGGATGTTTTAGTAGGTGGTTCGGGTCAGGGACTTTTTACGTGGAAACTAAGGGCTCGCGGAAGCGTCACGCCTGTCGCCAAGCCCCGCCTGCAAGAGGAGCTTTGTCCGGGGTGCCTGCCACCCTCTGCACCGCTGCGCATATCTGCACAAAAACTGCAATCAAGCCCCCGGCGCCCTGCCAGAGTAGGCAGAGATCGAGCCGGCGCGCGCCAGACACTGGCCGTCTGCGCTCCCAGGGCGCTGCAGCGAGAGCCGGCGGGGCACGCGAGACCAGCGCGCCGCCTGCAGCCTCTCTGCCTGCCTGCCTGGCCGCTGGATGACGTACAGGCATTTAAGGGATGAATTGCCCACTAGAAAACGCGCAATTGCCCCCGTGTAGACGCTGGCCAGAGTTCGTGGTGCGCGCCCTGCACGCTGTGATACAACACCTCCGCCGTGCTGTTGAGTGTCCTGACCCCGCGACCGACCGCGCTCCTCCGCCAGAACATCGTCGCAGCCCCCCTGACCGCCTCGACCGACACCATCAGTCCGACGAGCCCTGATCTCCAGCAAGCGGGCGACGACAAGGAGCTATTATTCATTCCCCTTCCGGCTGTCCTCGCTCGCCGCCGCGACGACGCTCGATTCCGCCTCGGACCACTACCCCCACCAGCTCCCACGCTTATGCTGCCCTCATGCAGTCCAGTGTGACGCCCTTCGGTATCTTCTGCTCCAACCATTTCCCTGGGTTCCGGCTCGTGCCTGTCTGGCTGGCCACCAACCCGTCTTCGCTGCTCCCAGCACTGCGGACAGGCATCTCCGGACCCTGCCATGGACGAGTTGCTAACGGTCGTTTCCAGGCTACAGTAGTGAGTCGTGCGGGTACTGCAAAGACGCATCGAATGGCAGTAGAACCGCCAATTCTCGTACGTGGATTTTCATAGTCATGCCTACTCAGTCATGGATGGATCGCCATGCCTGCAGACCGCTGTCAGAGCGGTCAAGCCTTCTCACACGAACAATGGGCGTCAATGTTGCAGCCGGCGCTTTTCCCGCCTGCATTTGATGTTCCGTTAAGGTTACCTGCGCTCACGTGCTGCCCCCGCGTCGCGTGCAATTCTGCCCGATCCCACCCATGCCTCGAGCGATGCGTCGCCGCCAAGCATCGTCTACGCGTCGGCAGACGTCGTAGAGTGTAGATCCTGCGTCGCGAGATGAATTGCATCACAGCGCATAGTCAATGCTGCCATCGCGATGGCCGCCCTGTCGCATAATCATGGAGCGGGGGAAATCGGAACGAGGCTGAGCGCCGAGAGCACTGGCTGACCTTGCCCGATTAGGAGCAAGCTACTACTTCTCATCGAAAAGCTTGACCGTTGAGGTCTACCAGATCCTCGTGGACCGCGGCTGGAGAAGGTAACGACCCACTCATGCGCGGCGCATGTTTGCAAGCACCTTGCATCGCAGCACTATGCCCATAACAGCAGCTGATACCGGCTTCTAGATCTGGTACCATCTTCTACAAGCCCGACGTGCTGCGACACTGCTGTCCGCACTACACAATTCGGTAAGCAGCATTGCAGAGACATCCGACTAGAGGCTTACCCGAGGTTGGTCTACCCGTCGCTTCCTTCAAGCCCTCGAAGGATCAGAGGAAGGCAGTCAACCATTGGAATGACTACGTGCTAGGCGAGGCTTATATGAAAGAGGCTTCTAGGCTTCACCCAATATCGAAAGAGTGCGTAACAACACCGTGTATTTCCTACAAGACTAACAGCTCCCAGGGAGAAAGCTCGTGTCAAGAACACGTTTGACCTTAGTCGTGAGGTGCACAAGACCGAACTCCAGAATGTTAAGCGCCCGCCTGAACCCGCACATCGCTTCGAGGTGACACTCGAACCGGCAGCCTTTACGCCCGAGAAGTATGAGTTGTTCAAGAACTATCAGCAAAACGTACACAAAGAGAAACCTCATGAGATCTCTCAGTCGGGGTTCAAGCGTTTCTTATGTGATTCGCCGTTGAAGCAGACCTCTAGAACTGTCGACGGGAAAGAGCAGCTCCTAGGATCATACCACCAATGCTACCGACTCGACGGACGACTCATTGCGATGGGCATCCTTGATCTGCTACCTCACTGCGTTAGCGGTGTCTATATGCTCTATCATTCCGATTTCGAGCAATGGCAGTTTGGAAAGTTGAGTGCGCTACGAGAAGCGGCATTGGCGCTCGAGGGTGGTTACCAGTACTACTACATGGGGTACTACATCCACTCCTGCATCAAGATGAAGTACAAGGGTGACTACAAAACTCAGCATGTTTTAGATCCCGAGACGTACGAGTGGCATCCGCTGGACGCTGAGCTACGCGCTCTGTTGGACAAAAAGACCTACGTCTCGATGTCTAGGGAGCGTCGTAGGAAAGAGCAAAAGAGTGATGAAGAGACGAGTGCCGCAACAGAGCAGGATGACTACTCCGACTATCCTCTACCAACAGCTGCCGAAGGTGGCAAGGCCATTTCCGACGGCATGTCATTGTTCGATTTGAAGGTACCAGGGCTCATGACAGCCGAAGAAATCGAACAGCAACTTGACCTGGCCACCATGCCCATCCGGGTCCGTGGACAGATGGCGGAAGCTCAGGTACGCGAGCAGTCCATACGTTGATAACTGCCAAGCGGTACTAATAGCTTATAGGATCTTGTCTCCTGGGATGGCAGTGATTTGAAGAACCCGCGTTCAATCAAGGGCATCATTGGCGAGATGGTCGCATGCATGGGCCCTGAAGTCGCATGGCAGGTAGTGGTACAGCTTGGATGAAAGAATGAGGTTAGGAGAACCACGTCAAAATGCTACTGTACTATACACGAAATCAGACACTATATAGTCTGCCCTTGATGCACGTCAATACAAGTCAGCTAGATGCGCGCTTACATATTCAATGTCTGGTCGCTTCCCCTAAGGACGAAGTAGCTGGCCCCTTTGAGCCTAGCTTGTACGTACGCCGAGGCTGCCGGTCGGAATATCGTCCACCTTACCAAAAGTTCACGCACAACACGGCGATTGACGTAGCACGCAGCCATGTCCGCGTCGCCCCTTACACTCGTCGTGCGCCCCCGTGGTATGTTCTCTCTGTTCATTGAGTGGCTCTAGCCTGGCTGAGCGCGTTCTGATTGCTGTTGGCTAACCCCTCTATAGGCCGCCCGATCAAGAACCTCCCGGAGACTATCACCGTCCCATCAGATGCCACTGCCTCCCAGATCTTTGAAGAGATTGCAAAGGCCTCAAGGTTCTCAATCCACCGATTGAGGGTTACCAAGGGCAGCGATGGCTCGCCGATCAACAATGTGCGCGATGTCACGGTTCACGACACAGGCCTGAGGAACAAGAGTGCTGTGGATGTCAAGGATCTTGGTAAACTACATATCGTCTGATGACGATTCAGATGGCTAACAACATGAAAGGTCCCCAGATCTCCTGGCGAACCGTCTTCATCGTCGAATACCTCGGACCCCTCCTCATCCACCCGCTCATCTACTTCGGCCGCTCCCTCATCTATGGCACCTCGGCGCCCCCCTCGCAGCTCCAGAAGCTTACCTTCCTTATGTGCGTCGCCCATTTCGCAAAGCGCGAGTTCGAGACCCTCTTCGTCCACCGCTTCTCGTCGGCCACGATGCCCATCATGAACATCTTCAAGAACAGCGGCTACTACTGGATCCTCTCGGGCTTCAACTTGGCATACTGGAGCTACGGCCCTAACAGCCCGGCTGCTAAGCCTTCAAATCCCCTCCTGACATATCTCGGCGTTGCCCTATTCGCAATCGGCGAGGTCTGCAACTACAGCACACATCTGACGCTTAAGAACTTGCGTCGTCCAGGCAGCACTGAGCGCGGTATTCCTAAGGGACTCGGCTTTGATCTAGTCACATGCCCCAACTACATGTTCGAGGCAATGGCTTGGATCGGCGTGGCCCTCGTCAACTGGAGCTTGAGCACCGTCATTTTCATCATCGTGGCTGTCGGACAGATGGGTGTTTGGGCTTGGAAGAAAGAGAAGAGGTATCGCAAGGAGTTTGGCGACAAATATAAGCGCAAGAGGTACGCCATCTTGCCCGGCATCTGGTAGAATGACGCATCGGGCGATGGGTACCGGTTCATTGAGAAGCTCGCACTTGACAGGTGCGTGGTGCTAGTGGGGAGGCTTTGCGCACATGGAGAATGCGAGAAGACAACCAATTAAAGACAAAGAACAATATATGAGTAACAACAGAAGCCGCTAAGGCTGCGGCGAGGCGGACTTGTAGAACTACAATACGTAGGCCGTCACACCCACTCAAAACGGTGACACCTCCGCAGGTACCCGTAGCTAATGCGCCGATGCCTCTGGCCAGCTGAATCACACTAAAGATGTTCGTCACTTGTTTGCTGAAGGACCTTTGGTGACAGATCTCGATGTAGCTGCGTGATGAGTTTACGTCTGCCCTTGACTCATTTGTGCACCTCAATATATTGACAAGGCCTGTGACATTGAGTGTGTGCTCGATTCTGATTCCCGGGTACAACCATCATCCACACCACAACCCAATGTTTTGCTTTTTTGTCGTGATGGCTTGTTGGATCTGCCCGCCCGGCGGCCACTCCCATATCGCCCCGATGAACGCCGAACAAACCCTGCATAAGCGCGGGAAGAGCATGCCACCCACCTGTCATCTCCCCACCCACGCATTTCCCAAAAGCACGCTCACCGACACTCATAAGCAAGTGAGGCTCGACCGACCTGCAAATCACACTCAATATCTCGTTGCCTGCAAGAAACTGCCTGCAAAAAGGCAGATCGAGGCTGAGATGATGCGGGCCCTCATTTCTGCCTACCAGCGGTCAGCCAAAGAACCCAGCCGGCAAGCCCGTTCGTGATCAGCCCTAGCCTTAGCCGCAGCACTACCTCGACCTGCCGAACTGGCTAATCAACAACTCTCCATTGGCCATTTACCGTGTTTGGGCACGCCGGGCCGCGGCTTACGATGCCCAGGTGGGAGAAGAGGACCTTTCTTCAGCTGTGACGGGCTGGGCTTGGTGGCGCTTTTTGATTTGACGATCCCCGGTGAGAACTAGAGGGACTGCTAGCTTCAGCCGCAGTTACGCATCTGGTCGTGTGAGGACGCGTGTATAAGAGGACTGAGGCAGGAGCCATTGTGGGACGAACAATAGCCTCACACCCATTGTCCCCTTGTGCTGAACCATTTCGATCGTTCTGTTAGCGTTTGATCTGGTGTTGCGCACATATACCCCTCGTTGCTTTTTCTTTGGCTGGCTGCGCGGTCTTCGGCTTGAACTACTTGCATCTGCAAGGCTGGTCGTCACGTTCTTGCCTGTCACATCTCGTTCTTGCTACTTCGAGTAACGGGCGAGATTGTTGGACGTCGTGACGTCGATTGCAGAGGCGGTAAGAGTACACAAGCGACCTCACAAGATACTCTGTGTTGCGTACCTAACAAAGGAACTACTCGCTGAACGGTGTTCGACTGAATGTAAGCCCGACGGTATCTCTTATTTACTCCTTCTGCTGTCACTCCTATCTCCTTTTGTAGCTCCTGTCTTTCTGGTTGGATGCACCTACCATTTCCAGATCTTCGAGCAAGATGAGGCTTCCAGATTGCCCGCCAAGAAAACTGTCCCTTCTCAACCCAGTCGCAAGATCAGATCTAGCCGAGAGAATGCCACTAACACAACCTTCCAGCATACCCAAAGATATGGCTGCAATAACAGCAGACGCGAAAGCGGCATGGGACGCCCATGTCGATACCCGCACAGGAGCGGAGCCACCAAAACCAGCTGACCCATCTGAGATCAGCACACTCAGGAACAAAATCGGCAATTCCTTCAAAGCAGCAGCAGCCTTACTAGGCGCAGCAGCAGCCCCGGTTCCCGACCAGACAGGCGATGGCTCGAAGATTGCCCCAGAAGAGAAGGCTAGCTTGTACAAGAAGATTGAGGGCAGTCTTCGAGATATGTCTCACCTTGGTGTCGACAACATCCAAAGTCTATTGGAAATCCAGAAGGAGAAAATGCTTGGTGGCTATACTGATGACAAGACTTACCTGATGGAGGGTCTTATCCGGACCGCCGCCAAGCTGCCCGACGGATCCAAAACTAGGGACGCAGTTACAGGCAATTTCCTAGAACAGCTATGGAACGACTTGCAACACCCACCGCAGTCATACCTCGGGGAGAAGTTCCAGTATCGATCCGCAGATGGCTCCAACAACAGTCTTGTCAACCCCCAAGTGGGCGCAGCAGGGACACCATATGCTAGAACGGTCAAACCATCTCAGATGCAGACCCCTGCGCGCCCAGATCCGGGTGTCGTATTCGACAGCATCATGACCAGGAAGCATGCCGAACTGCATCCTAACAGGATCTCGAGCATGCTGTTCTATCTGGCATCTATCATCATCCACGATTGCTTCCGGACGAGCCACGAGGACTTTGCCGTTTCCATGACATCTTCTTACCTCGATCTATCGCCCTTGTATGGAAGCAACCAGGCCGAGCAAGACATGATGAGGACCGGACGCGATGGAAGGATCAAGCCTGACTGCTTCTCGGAAGCGCGACTGTTGTTCTTCCCCCCTGGTGTAGGCGCCATGTTGATCATGTTCAACCGTTTCCACAATTACACTGTCGAGAACTTGGCCGCGATCAATGAACAAGGGCGCTTCAAGAAGCCTTCAAATGAAGCGCCCCAACCTACTGGCGATGCTGAGGCCGACAAGAAGGCCAAGGATAAGTACGATGCAGCATGGAAGAAGTACGACAATGATCTGTTTCAGACTGGTCGTCTCATCACCTGCGGCCTTTACGTCAACATTATTCTGATCGACTACGTCCGCACCATTCTGGATCTCAACCGCACAGATAGTAACTGGCAGCTGAATCCCCGCGCTGAGGTAGCGAACCTACCCATGGGTGTTGGCAACCAGGTCTCAGCTGAGTTCAACCTCGTTTACCGATGGCACTCTACAGTGTCCGATCGTGACGAGAAATGGACGCAGGAGATGTGGGACGGTATGTTTGGCGAAGGTCGTGACCCCAAGTCTATCAGCAAAGGCGAGTTCCTTGGTACCTTGAACAAAGTCTACAGCAAGACCGATCCGGATCCATCGAAACGCAAGTTCGCTAACCTGGAGCGAAGCGAGTCCGGCACGCTACCTGACCAAGGCCTTGTTGGCATCTTGACATCAAGCATTGAAGACTGTGCCAACTCTTTCGGGCCAAACAGAGTTCCCGCTGTCTTCCGTGCTATCGAGGTTCTCGGTATCGAGCAAGCACGTAGCTGGAACTTGGGCTCGCTCAACGAGTTCAGGAAATACTTCAAGCTCGAGCCGCACAATACTTTCGAAGACATCACGTCCGACAAGTACGTGCAGGAACAACTCAAGCACCTCTACGACCATCCCGATAAGGTTGAAATCTACCCTGGCATTGTTGTCGAGGATGCGAAGCAACCCATGGCTCCAGGTTCCGGTCTCTGCCCAGGGTACACCGTCTCTCGCGCTGTTCTCTCAGACGCGGTAGCGTTGGTGCGCGGCGACCGATTCTACACTCACGACTACAACCCGCGCACATTGACTAATTGGGGCTACCAGCTTGCTGATAGCGATCTTGGTGTTGACAATGGATGCGTCTTCTACAAGCTCTTCCTGCGCGCTTTCCCACAGCACTTCAAGTACAACAGCGTGTACGCACATTACCCTCTAACGGTTCCCTCCGCGATGAAGGTGGCTCTCACCGATTTGAAGAAGGACAACTTGTACGACTTTAGCAAACCAGTGGCAACAGCACACCCACACTTCGTCAAGGAGTACAAACTCGCCACGGGTATCATGAAAGACCAAGCTACCTTCAAAGTCGTCTGGGGCAGAGCCATGGAATACATCATGGGTCCCGCATCCGCCGACTTCATGCTTGCTGGCGACGGACCCAAGAATGCCGCATCAAGGCAAATGGTCAGCAAAGCCCTTTACGTCTCGTCGTGGGACAAGGAAGTACGCGACTACTATACGCTCAAGACCAGGCAGCTGTTGAAAGAGAAGAGCGTAAAGATTGCCGATTTCAACCAAGTTGACATCATACGCTCCATCGGCAATCTTGCCCACGTTCACTTCTGCTCTGAGTTGTTCATGTTGCCGCTCAAGACGGCCGCACAACCCCACGGTATTTTTACAGAGGCTGAGCTCTACCTCATCATGTCATCGGTCTTTGCGCTCATCTTCTTCGATGCGGATCCTGCTTCATCTTTCCCTTTGCACGTCAAAGCAAGGAAGGCAACACAACTGCTTGGAAACATCGTTGAGAAGAACGTGCAGGCCATTGCAAACTCTGGAATCTTGTCCAGTATCATGGCGACGATCTGGCCTCAGGAAACTACCATGAAGTTCTATGGCGTGCATATGATCAAGCGACTTCTAGAGAGCGGCATGTCGCCAGAGACCCTGACTTGGGGTCATATTCTCGGTACAGCAGGTGGTATGGTGTCCAACCAAGGCCAACTCTTTGCTCAAACGATCGAATACTACATCCTCGGCGCCGGCAAGAAGCACTGGCCTGAGATCCAGAAGCTTGCTGAAGACGACAGCGAAGAAGCGTTCGAAAAGCTGATGCACTACACCATGGAAGGAGGCCGTCTGAACGGCGAAACAGGCGTCATCCGCGCCGTCGCCAAGCCCACCTCCATCACTGAGAACGGAAAGACGACAGACCTCAAACCAGGCGATGCTGTCTTTGTGAACTTACGCGTTGCATCGCACGACCCAGACGTCTTCCCCAACCCAGATGAAGTCGACATCACACGCTCCCTGGATTCGTACATCCACCTCGGATACGGTCCACACCAGTGTCTCGGACTACCGATGACGCGCATGGCGCTCACGACTATGCTCAGAGAAGTCGCTCGACTGAAGAATCTACGCCCTGCGCTTGGTCCGCAGGGCAAGATCCACAAGGTGGAGAAGAAGATGGGGCCGGGCGAGGAGAAGTACTCGTACCATGCCTATTTGACGGAGAATCAGGATATGTACTTTCCGTTCCCTTGTGGTAAGTCGTCCGAACCTCTTGATTTGTCAATCA